CTTTTTTGACATCTGTTTGCATGGTAAATCGTTCTCCATCCCTTCACTTTGAATTTGCAGGGGTCTTTAGGTCTAAAATGAGCCTCTTATAGGCAGCATATAGATGGGTCTTGTTTTTTTCCATTCTGATGCCCTGTGTCTTGATTGGAGCATTTACTCCATTTACATTCAGAGTGGTTATTGATAGATACGAATTTGGTGCCATTTTATTACCTGTTAAATTGTTGTTTCTGAAGATTTTCTCTCTTCCTTTCTAGTCTTTGTTGCTTTTGGTCTTTTTTCCCCACTCAAAGAGTCCCCTTTAATATTTCTTGTGGGGCTGGTGGAGTGGTCACAAACTCCTTTAGTTTTTGTTTGTCCCGGAACTCTATCTCTCCTTCTACTCTGAGTGACAACCTTGCTGGATAAAGTATTCTTGGCTGCATATTTTTCCCATTCAGCATGTTGAATATATCATGCTATCCGCTTCTGACTTGCCAAGTTTCTGTGGAGAGATCTGCTGGTAACCTTATTTGTCTTCCATTAAAAGTTAGGGATTTCTTTTCCCTTGCTTTTAGGATTTTTCCCTTATGTCTGTATTTTGCATATTTTACTATGATAATCTTGGTGTTGGTCTACTTTTGTTGATTTTGATGGGAGTTCTCTTTGCGTCCTGTATTTGGATGTCTGTTTCCTTCCCCAGATTAGGGAAGTTTTCAGCTATAATTTGCTTAAATAAACCTTCTGCCCTGTTCTCCCTCTTTTCTTCTCTGGGACTCCTGTGATAAGAATGTTATTGGGACTCCTGCGTGGCTCAGTTGGTTAAGTGTCCACCTTCAGCTCAGGTCCTGATCCTAGGGTCCTGGGATCGAGTCCCACATCAGTCTCCTTGCTCAGCGGGACCCTGCTTCCCCCTCTGCCTGCCTTTCCTCCTCTGCCTGCCTCTCTCCCCCTGCTTATTCTCTCTCTCTCTGACAAATAAATGAGATCTTGGGATGCCCAGGTGGCTCGGTCAGTTAGGCGTCTGCCTTCAGCTCAAGTCATGATCTCAGGGTCCTGGGATCGAGTCCCACATCAGACTCCTTGCTCAGTAGAGAGCCTGCTTCTCCCTCTGCCTGCCACCCCCCCCCCCCCCGGCTTGTGCTCGCACTTGTGCGCCCTCTCTCCCTCTAATAAATAAAATCTTAAAAAAAAAAAAAGAATGTTATTACACTTCATGGAATAGCTGAGTTCCCCAAGTCTACGTTTGTGATCAAATATTTTTCTTTCCCTTCTTTTCTGCTTGATTTTCCATACTTTTATCTTCTTTTTTTTTTTTTTTTTTTAAGATTTTATTTATTTATTTGACAGAGAATGAGAGAGCACAAGCAGGGGGGAGTGGCAGGCAGAGGGAGAGAGAGAAGGAGGCTCCCCGCTGAACAGGGAACCGGCTGTTGGGCTTGATCCCAGAACCCTGGGATCATGACCTAAGCGAAGGCAGACGCTCAACCAACTAAGTCACCCAGGCACTCCTAATTTTATCTTCTTTATCACTTTTTCATTCTTCTGCTTCTTCCATCCTTGTGGTCATCATATCTATTTGGTTTGGTATCTCAGCTATAGCATTTTCTATTCTAGCGTGACTAGTTTTTAGATCTTTTATATCTGTGGTAAGGGACTCCCTGGTGTCTTCTATGCTTTTCTCAATCCTTATGATTGTTGCTTTAAATACTGGATCAGGTTTAATACTTATATCTGTTCGATTAGATCCTTGGCCATATCCTTTTCTTGTTCTTTCTTTTGGGATGAATTCCTCCCATTTCAGTATTTTGTTAGGTCTCTGTCTTCTTTTGTGTGTTAGGAAAGCCTGTTAGGTTTCCTGCTCCTGAGAGTAATGCTTTATTAAGAAGGGATCATATACTGTCCAGGGCTTAGTGCTTAAGCAAGTGTTTCTGGTATATTCTGTGTGCACTCTGCTGCTGTGTTTTGGCTGCTCTTTCCTTCAGGTCAGTCCTCTGCAGAGTTTCTTCTTGCCTGCAGTGGGGAGTGTTTGAACTTTGGCCAGAGTGTGGCAGGTTTTAACTAGGTGTGCTCTGGTCTGCTTGTTAAAAGAGGCCTGATACTATTTCCACTAGAGCTGAAGCTTTGCAGCTCTCTATGGTCAACAGACTTGCTGTGTGCTGGGGGGAGCGGGGAACTTGTGCTGATCTTCTGGGGGAGGGGCCTGATGCTCTGGTTCTCAGGCACACTTGCCCTAGTAAAGAAGAACCTGCAGATTGCAGGGGGCCGGGGCTTGGTGTAAGGTACTCAGACATTCACTGTTGGCTCTGTGTTGCTCACTGAAGTCAATCCGTGCTGATGGGTGGGAGACAAAAATGGCTCCAGCCCTCTCCCTCATTCATGGAGAGGGGAGTTCACCCCTGCTGCAGTCCGCGAAGCCCTCACAGAAGAGTGAACAATCTCCCCTTGTGTGTCCCATGCGGCCCTCAGATCCCAGCCTTCACACTGTCAGTGCAGTACTCCTATGTTCTATCCGAGGCAGGCCACCCAAATTTTAAAAACTCTGACCTTTAGGGACCTGATGTGGGGTGGACCTGTGCTGGTCCTTTTGCCATGCTGGGACTGTTGCAGGTTTGTCCCAGAAGGGCAGTTGTACCAAAATGCAGGAGTGTGGAGTTTGGAGTAAAATGCTGCGAAGAGCAGGTGTCCACGTTAGCCACCCTCAGCAGGTGTCTCTGTGCCTATGCTGAGGTGCAGGGGAGGGAATTGGTATCTGCCAGCTCTTTTGTCCCCAGAAAGGCAATGCCACCTCTCCCAAGTGCAATCAAGAAGGGGGACACATCTCTCCTAGTGCAGCCCAGGGGATCCTCAGATTGCACTCTCCACTCCTAGGTCTCTGCCCTCCTCCCCAGGTGCACCACAGTGCCCACCAGGCTCCATACCAACCAGAATGTGGACTTCTGAAACTCCAGTCTTTGAGCTCTGCTGGTTGTAAAAACTCAACATAATCAGCCCCTCTCATTTTCCCAGTCAGTGGTTTTGGGGAAGTCTTTTTCTTATGTTATCCTCTGTTCACTGCTCCCTCTCTCCTCTCTCTCTCTCTCTCTGTCTCTCCCTTTTCCCCCATCCCCCTGTTTCCGTGATCAGGGCTCCCTCCCCTCCACAGTACCCATGAATCTTTTCCCCCACAAATCATGTCTCCACACCTCCTACCTTCCAGAGTGTGGTCTCTTCTCTCCCTCTAGTTGTGCAGTTTATTCTCTCAGTCCTCAGATCGATTTCTTGGTGTTCAGAATGATTTGATATTTATCTAGTTGTGTTCAAGGAATGAGGCAAGCATAGGGACCTCCTACTACTTCACTGTCTTAACCCCTATTCTTCCAGTGTTAAAAAAATACATTTTCTTACAAATACTGCAACACACCCTATTTTTCCCTAACAATACTAAAATATTAATTTTAAAAGTAACTAAAATTTATTGTGTACTGAATGTTATTTCTTTGGAAAAAGCATTTTGCCTTTCTGTGGAGAGCTGTTGTCATGGAATTTTAAAAGTTCAATTACTTAGTACACAGATTACCTCCATCCTTATATTTCATTCAAAATACAGGGGTTGCCTTCTGCCAAAATAGAGTATGTAAGATAAACATAGTTCCACCAAGGATTTTTCCCAGTGTGGACTTTCTGAAGAAATAGTCTCCTTGGCTTTCTTCATAACTGCCCCAGTCTTTGGGATGATCTTAGCCCCATGAAAATTTCTAGTGTCAGAATTTTCTTCCTTCTAACTCTGTAGGTCCTCTTGACAGCCATGGTGTTTGGACTTAAAGAGGATAACTTTTATCTCACTTCTAGTAAAAAATAGTGTTACATAAAATAAGAAGCATTCCAGCATAATGGCTAGGTAAATTATGCTCTACCTACTTGATATTGTTATACTGTACTCATAAACAAATTTTGCTGTTTATGGGATATTGTAATTCTCAAATATGTTGGACTATATAATCCATAACGAACATTTTGTAGAGTGTAGTATTCAGTGCAATTTTTTTAGTAAATGTTTTGTTCTAAATATGAGAAAGTTTTTTTATAAAATATGAAATTACATTCGATAAAAGCCATTTTTAGTTGTAGTGGGATTCATTAGGTAAATTACTTAGTATGATAATAATAATGTGTAAAATATGTTGTTTGTAGGATAATGAACACACCTAGTAGAGGGAAAACATTTAGCCAGTATCTAACATATATAGGATCTCAAATGTTAGGTCTTAGTAGCACTTATTCGTATCAGAAGTGAAATATATATATACTAACACATAGTGCGTTAATAAAGCTTAGTCTTTTAGAAATAGTTATATCCAAATAGTTTGGTTTTAGTAGCCTTCCTGTTCAATTTCTGGCTCCACAACTTGCTATATTTCTTTATCTGCAAAATGTGGGTAGTATCTACTTTGTGGAGTAATTGTTAAAATTAAGTGAAGTGTAATACATTCAGCAGGCCCAGAATAATGTTTGGCACAAGGTAAATACATTAGCTATTTCTATCATTGCCAAATGTTTTGAAGTAGGCTTACTGGTGTTCTGATGGTGCCTTACCCTGTTTGTTTTGTTTTTAATTTTTAGAAGACCAAGAAAATAATTTTGCATTTTCACTGGTATAAATTTATAAATCTGTTAATACCTTCTCTGCTGGGGAAAAGAGACAGACAGACACAGGTTCCCCAAACTTTTGTCTTCTTCAGACACTTCTTTTAAGGTCAGACATCTTTTCAAAGCAGGCAAAGCTCTTCAATGTACGATCTTTGAGAGAGTAGTTTATTACTGCTCACTTTGCCACCCTAAAAATGTGATTTATTGATTGGCCAAATGCATAGTATATACTTAGATAACTCAATATTTGTTTTTATTTTAGAAGATAAAATACTTGGAAATATTAATACTTAAAATGATTACTCATTGTAAGATTGAATACCATTTTATGAATTATAGAAAAACATTTATGAAGACTAATAGAGTGGTTTTTTTTGTATCTTTGCTTTTAGTTGGTAGATAAACTTAATACCAATACTGAAATGGAAGAAGTAATGGATGATTACAACATGGTAAGAAAATTTATAAGCATAAGCAATAGACTTACATAGATCATATCCTCCAATACAAAGCATTTTTATCTAGAAATAGTTTGATAAAACCTTACACACCTTACAGATAGGTATTATTATTATCCTAAATACTGTTATTACAGTTGAGTTCCCTCAGTTGCTTTCTGGGGCTTAAACTCACAACCCCAAGATCAAGAGTTGCATGCTCTACTGAGCCAGCAAGGCACCCCTTCAGTTGCTCTTTTTAAATTTCTTCTTCTTGGTCAGATCTCCCTAGTGGATTCTTTAGTGTCTTTCTACAAGGCTAGGTGAACTGGTCTCACACACAGCATTAGTTAGGGAGTCTCATCTATATTTCCTTGTATATAAATTAGTTTGGAATACTTTTGGTTTAATATTTGCACAGATGGAGCTGAGTACTTACTGGAAATACAATGCCACATTTACAAAGTTTTATAAGTAAGAGAGAAAAGTGAATAGTTATCATATGATGCTGGATATAATACTACTTTTTGATTGATAAATGAGAATCTGTGTTCAGTGTTCTTAGATTCCTTGGTAGAAAACAATATTAGTAGCTATAACTTGTTTTGATTACAAATATTTGGAAGAAAGTAACATACGTAGAGCCTATAGTTTATATAACTTATAATTTATTTATACAACTTTTATATAGTTTATGATACAGCTTATAATTTACACAGACTATTCTGTGAAAGCACAGAATTCATAAAATGACTTTTTTCTAAATTGGGGTTCTGAAAACATAATTTGGTGAAACTAGTCTTAATTTTAGAACACAGGAGAATTTCCAATTTAAAAATGTACTTTTAATGCCACATGTAAAATGTGGAAACTTCTTTATGTGTTCTGTCAGTTGTTTGGGATAGAACCAAATTCTAAGCTGAATATGCACAGGTAGAGTCAAGTAGGAGTACTCAGGTAAAATTCTTTTTAAGGATAAAACTTGTGTTTGGTCTAAAATCAACATATTACTAATCAACTATTGAATACCCAATAAATTTTAGAAATTCTATTTACATAAATTAAGTTTACACTGGATTATTCGATAGATCACTAAAGAATAGTGAATATTTTTGGTGTGAGATTACAGTGCCTGTGAAAAAGACTTCCTTTTTTCAGGTTGTAGTTTGTTAAGTGAAATAAATACTATATATTTTTTAAAAACTTTGCATGTGGCATTAGGATTATTATAATAATCTCTCAATTAGTTCATGACCAGAATAACTTTTAAAGAAGTAGTTCAGTTTAATGGTAATTTTTTATCACTAACTTCTCTGTTAACTCTTCATTCAGCTTAAAGCTCAAAATGATCGAGAAACACAAAGTATGGATGTCATATTTACTGAAAGACAAGCGTAAGTACAATCCATTTAGAAATCAGACATTTCTAAGGAGCTGAATTAGGTAGTTTAACTTTGAAGTCATTTATTTCCTTATAAATTTTCTCGTTTTTTCCTTGCTTTTTTTTTTTTTAAGTAGGCTCCACATCCAGTGTGGAGCCCAGTGCAGACCCAAACTCATGACCATGAGATCACACCTTGAGCTGAGATCAAAAGCTGGATGCTCAACCGACTGAGTCACCTAGGCACCCCTTCCCTTGCATTTTATTTAAAAAAGCTGAATATTTGCAATACAAATTTTATTATTTACACATCTGTTATTTTCATTTATCATTAAGTACCCAAATCCTGGATAAATAAAATTACTACATAGATTAGATAAATAAATTTCTATTTCAAGTAGTTTAAAATCTAAGATGGGTAAGAACATCTTCATCTCTGCCATTTATAATTTTAACCTGGGCTTTTTAACTAGTTTGCGTTATGAGATTCAAGGCCCAGTCTAATAAAACGCACATTATTAGTGAGCTGTTTACATTATTTCATTATTCAATTACTAATTTCTAATTAATAGTTATAGTAATGCGTATATGTATATACATCTTTTTATATAACATGGTTAAAGACCCAATGGCAAATAATTTTGACTTTGGTAATAAGTGGCAGTGTGGCAGTGACAAAGGCCTACAAAGGTAATAGGTAGATGTGATGTAGTTGTCTTAGTCCATTTGGGCTGCTATAACAATATACCATAAACTGGGTAACTTATAAACAACAGGAATTTATTGCTCACATTTCTGGAGGCTGTGCAGTCCAGGCTCAAGGCACCAACATGGTCCCATTCTGGTGAGGTCCCTCTTCCTGTTCATACCAGGCATCTTCTTGCTGTATACTCCCATGGTAGAAGGGGGTCTGTGGGATCTCTTTTTATAAGGGCACTAATTGTATTCATGAGGGCTCCACCCTCACTACCTAATCACTTCCCAGAGATTGCACCTACTAATACCATTACCTTGGGGGCTGGGACTGCAACACAAATTTTGGAAGACATAAATATTCAGATAATAACAGTAGTTAACATAATTATTCTTCATTGATTGGGGGCCTTAATTAAATATTGTCTAACGCAATGCAAACATAAAACATAAGCTATTTCGTATACACCCACCCCATACATATTTTGTCTCAGAATTTTATCAGTCTTAATCTCTGAGAGCAAGGATAATAATTAATCAAAATTACTTAAATTCTGTAATACCAAATATACTGTCCTGTTACTTATGCATATAATGTACATATTTGATGAAGAATAGGATGTTAACATGTAATGGCAAAACACTTGAAAGATAAATACAATTTTTTTGTTGATTAAAAATAAAGGAACCTCTTTTTCCCTTATCATTTGATACTGCTGTAAAAGTGCTGCCTTAAAAATTATAAATACTGGAAGTCCTTCCCATTTACAAAGAAAATTACGTATTCATGGTGACCAAGCTCTTACTTGAAAACTTTCTTTTTTACTGTTCCGGTTTTGAACCATTTAGCAAATATTTATCGTTTACCGTACATAAAATAACTCCCCTAGGTACCTAAAAAGTAAATAATGAACTGTAGTCCATTGAATACCTAACAGAGTTTAAAACATTAAGGTCCTCATTTATTTCATCTGCAGTTATCTAATATTCAGGTCAGATTTATAAATATTATATGTATATTTATTATATATATTTCATCCAGAAAGATAACTCACAGATTATAAATTTAAGACTGTCTTAGGCTTTTATGTCTATTTGGTTCATTTAGTTAAGGAAAAAGTTCTTAAAATATGGTGGTTTGTCCTGAAATGTCAGCAGTTTCTTAATGTCTGTAGTTTGTAATTGAGGCTGAATGTATTTGGTTCTTCTGACCCTTTTAAGGAGAAATTTGAATTAAGAACAGGAGTTATCTTCATGCAGTTTACTTTTATATGCAGTAGGTGAATAGATTTCATGCGTTAATCAGATGGCCAACATCTCAGTAACACAATGGATCTACCTTGGCTACACATTCAAAGGGAGCTGGTAATGGCATACCTTGAGAAGGCAGGTCCAAAAAACTTCATTCTCTTCTCTTTTAGTACAACCATTTAGTGTGGTATGACTAAACCATCTGGTTTATTATGGAACATCTATTCATAATAAGTTAGTTATAGTGTAGAGCCTTTAGCATATTACTATAACATTACACTTGGCTTTAATTCAATTTCATATGCCAACATTCAGTTATTAGAGGCTCAAGAAATTAGATATAGTCTTTGCTCATTCATAATTATATTTCACTTTACTAAATTTTTCAAATATTAATATTTGCCTCTCAAATTAGGAAATGATATTTTGGAAAAATAATTATTTAGAAAAAGCATTTTGTTTCCATAATTATCTCACTCTTATAATCAAGATTTAAAACAATAAAGTAAAATTGATATTATCTAATAAGAAATATTACATGTAAAACATTTATATCCTTTATTGAAAACATGTTTCTATAAACACAAGCAAATATGCATTATAAATGAGTAAATTCTATTTCACAGGGTATATATCATCCTAAACAGTTTATTTCCCTCGGTAGACATTTGAACTGAATTTACTATTGATACGACCTTTAAAATGACCATTTTGCAGAATATAACATACATATACATTATTCTTAGACTCTTTTTTCTGAGAAACTGTCAAGTACATGTGCATTTTAAAAACTTTATTATAAAAAAATTTGAACATACACAAAAATAAAATAATGTTATTATATCATCTCCCAGCTCCATCAGCTCCATCTCCCAGCTCTATCAGCTCATATCCAGTCCTCCTCCATAGACATCTAGGCACTACTCCGCTGTATGATGATGAAGAAAATCTAAAACATCATATTATTTCATCCATAAATGTATTTTATTCTAGTGTTTTAGAGATAGATATTCTTTTCTCTAAAGGATATAAATACAGTAAATTTTCACCCCTCTGCAGGGTAAAAATGATGGATTTTGTTACAATTTTTAACGCTACTGTTTGCATTGTTAAAGTTATGATTACAGCCAATTAATTATAAGGAATTAGTAAATAATTAACTTCAGACTCTTTCTGTAGTAGTCTCAAGGTCATTGTTGTCCAAACTGTTTTTTGGATCATTATTGTGCTATGAACTCATTGTAGGCATATCTCAAAGAAAGGGTTTTGTTGTCCAGTAAGTTTGGAAAATTCTTAATACTTAGTTCTTGAAGAGCAGAGAGCACTTTAGCTTATTAGAATCTTGAATAAGTCCTATGGTAAGGACTCTTGTTTCACTTTGTTTAAACTCAGTATTTCCTATAGTAATTCTCTAGTACTTTGACCATGTACTGTTTTTCCCCCTGTAAATATTTCTGATCATTTCCTGGAAATTAATATTCTAGAAAACAATTTGGGAAACATTGCTGTATCTACAGGATCCCAAACATCTGTCCATGGACCAACTGAAGATTCCTCAGCTCTAGCACAGACTCATTTGAATAGAACTCTCCCAAAGAGAGGCAGGAATACAGATTTTTAAAAACAAGATTCGTGGAGACTTGTGATACCCACTTTGGAAGCTACCATACTACTCAGTTATGATGATCATGCATTATGGTGATGGTCTTTCTTTCTAACTGAAAGCAGTAGCAACCTTTTTTTTTTTTTTAAAGTCAGTAGTAACTTATTAGGGATTGTGCTTGGACATTGTACCTGTGCTTTAAGTTAGTACTAAATTTTCAGGAAATTTATTGTGCTAATTCAGGAAGCATTTAAAAAAATATTTTCCAATTCCATGAATTCATTCTGTGAGCATAAAATCAATCTTAGTGTGTTGTATGTTTAAGCGTTTTCACTTCGACAAATTCAAAACCTTTATTTTTTTTAAATTTTTTTCTAAAGATTTTATTTATTTGAGAGGGAGAGAGAGACAGAGAGCACAAGCAGGGGGAGAACTGGGGTGGGAGGACAGGGACAGGCAGACTGCACTGAGCACGGAGCCCAACATGGGCCTGGATCCCAGGCCCCCCCCAAGATCAAGACCTAAGCCTGAGCCAAAACTAAGAGTCAGATGCTCAGCTGACTGAGCCACCCAGGTGGCCCCCAAAACCTTTATTTTTTTACTGATTCTACTCAGTAAAACTTTAATATAATTTAATATGTATTACATCAAATATCTGGGCTAATATTAGAATCAGTTCATTTTAATGAATAATTTACTTTAGGTCTTTTCCTTATTAGGATGTATGGTCTCCTGAATACTGCTGAAAATAGTAATGCTAGTATTGTCACTGTAAGCTACCAGAGGATGTCAATTACTGTATTTGGACATACTTGCTCAGTACCAATGAGAAAAACATGATTTTATGATATTCATGTGTCTTGCAATTAATATGAAAGTCTACTAGCCACAGTTTGGTATGTCACATGCCTAATCTCCATTTATGTCTAAATTGCGAGTAAACCAATGACATTTTTTTAAAAAATCAAGCATTTAAGAGAATTAATTTTCTTCACGTAATTCATGTGTATCTATGTATTTGTCTTCAATAAACCCATCGTCATCTATCACAAATGAATGTAGTTGTTCAAATATTACTGTAGTTTCTTCAGAGTTTGTATCTGGGGCCTGTGAAGGAGAACTTGAATTTCCAGTAAAAGCATCTTCATAGGTTTCTGCTTCATGCTCTTCCAGGCGATGATGATTGTAACTAAGCAGTATATTATACCATATTGGGCATTTGATAGCAACAAATATGAGGAATGAAGTCATCAGTACAGTGACTACCACACCAACAAGAAAAGCCCAGCTTTTTCCAAGAAGTTTATGTTCTTAATTGGAATACCAAGAGAGAAAGAGAGAGAGATTTTGTTAAATTGACAAAAATAATCATTAATCATATGTCCTAATAACTCCATAATATTGTTATTAGAAATAAACATTATAATTTTCTTTAAGCAAAAGTTACTACAAGATATTTCAAAGTGTGCTGAAAAAATACCTTTTTTCCAAAATAACTACTTGTCTTTGCAGGTATTGTTTATCAATTCACGAAAGAACATTATTGATTTATACTTGTTAAGAATTATGATTTAATTGGTCAAAACTAAGACTCAGAAAAGTTACATAAGTTGTATAATGGCATTTGGATGGTAACTAGCAGAGCCTAGTTTGGAAACTTAGTATTTTGTAAATCTTTTGTTGAGATGAGGAGTTGTTCTTTTACATTATTTCTAGAAATTTAAAATTTAGAAAAATGAAAACTACTTCAGTTTATTTAGTATACTGCCTTCAGCAATATTAATGTTCCAAACCAGTACATTACCTGAGTTTTTTAAGTTGTTCAAAGAGCTATTAAATGTTGAGTTGTTAATGGACTGAAAGTGGTTATAAAGATCTTCATTTATAGGTGGAGGAAATGTTGAGTAGCACTCAGCATTATAAGGTACTGTTTTGATACTGTAGTACATCAGGATATCTGGGTAGGTGCACGTGGTGATGTTCTCATTTTCTGGTAAATCAGAATAAGATTTATTATGGAAATAGGATTATTATTGTTAATAAATTATGGCTAACATTTTATAATTATTTTTACCTAGAATTTTTTGGTATACTTATCTATCATTATTACAGATTATAAGAAACTCCTGTATTTGCCTAGCAACACAAGGAGGGAAAGATTCACATTCTTGTTTATTAAGTTATTTTACAATATATATGGGTTTGTTTTTTTTTTAAGATTTTTTTTATTTATTTATTTGAGAGAGAGAATGAGAGACAGCACGAGAGGGAAGTGGGTCAGAGGGAGAAGCAGACCCCCCGCTGAGCAGGGAGCCCGATGCGGGACTCGATCCTGGGACTCCAGGATCACGACCCGAGCCGAAGGCAGTCGCTCAACCAACTGAGCCACCCAGGCGCCCTACAATATATATGGTTTAAATGCAGTATCTGTTTACTGTTCAGTTTGCGTTAGTAAAGATGTTATTAAGATTGTGATAAAAATTGATCTCAGGCAGAGCATGGTTTGCAGTTAAGAAAATAGGGCACCTGTTTTTACCTACTATCTGGCAAGATATCCTAAGAAAAGGAAATACTGGAAAAAAAATTACTCTTATGTGTTCGTATTCAAACTTCAAACTTAATACATGAAGTGACAGTATCATCTCACATATATAGAACATTTAAATTTCTTTTCTTCTCCTTTTTTTTTTCCTAAAAGGCAGAGGAGGAATATCTATTCAGTAGTTATTTTTCAGTGTTTCTTCCTGCTTCCCTTAAACAGGAATAGTTTCTTTTTCTTTAAAACATGAAGTGAGAGACTTTCTTGGGGTGGGACAGGAAAAAATCAATCACATTTTGGTTTTGATTAATTTAAATAATGTTAGCTTACCTAGTGTCACATTTGATGTGTTCAACCAGTTCTGCAAATTCAGTAGACTGCAAGAGCAGTTCCATGGATTTCCATATAAAATTATTAATTCCAGATGAAACAGTTGTGGTACATCAAAATAGCTTATGAAATTGCCTTGCAGATTCAGAAGTATCAGGTTTTTTAGAGGCACAAATACATCAGGATTCAGTTGAAATATTTTGTTTTGGCAGAGATGTAACTGTTTTAGTTTATTTAAGCCCATGAATGCACCCTGTTGAATTATGTGGATGGAGTTTCTACAGATATTTAAAATTTCTAGATTGGAGAGGTTACCAAAGCCATTATTATATAACATAGTGACATTGTTCTCAGTCAAATAGAGTTCAGTGAGTAAAAAATATGTTTGTAGAACCCTGGTGTCTGTAATATTCAAAGTAATTTGGTTATAACTGAGATCAAGTATAGTGACATTTTTATTGATATCTGCTGGAATCAAAGAATAATTCTTTTCAGTGAAATTACATTTGACTTCCTAAAAAAGAAAAAAATTAGAAATGCATTAATTAGGAAAAATATTAACAGAATTTCCCACATTTTCATATGCAGGTAATTAGACATTGGCAGGAAATAGTTTTGTTTTTAGGTGGGGGAGAGGGAGATCTCACAATCCTGTGATCATGACTTGAGCTAAAATCAAGAGTTGGATGCTTAACCGGCTGAGCCACCCAGGCACCCCTGGAAGAAAATGGTTTTAGAAAAACATTTCCTGTCTAATATTTTGATGTTATATTGTGAAAAAAGTAAAGCAAATACTTTTATTTCTTCATTGGGATGAAATACTGAAGATTAAGGAAATTCTGATACATGTACCTGAGCAAAGAGATTCTAGTTAATCATATAGATATCTTCTGTTATTACATACTCATTACAGAAAGAATGTGGGTATAATTTCATTACCTATGTGGAAATACATGGCAAATAATTCTCTTAACTCATATTTGTATATCATTTATAATGAGGAAATTACTTTAAAATTTGTTTTTAAAAATCAGAGCTACCAGCACTACACATAGGCTATTAAATAATTAAGAAATAATACTCAATATATAACTGTATATAGGGTTAACAGCTCAAAGTTTGGTGTTTTAAGAGAAAAAAAAAATTTTTTTTAAGTGATCTTTATAGTCAATGTGGGGCTTGAACTCATGACCCCAAGATCAAGAATCAGATGCTCTACTGACAAAGCTAGCCAGGTGCCCCCAGAAAATATTTTATAACAGAAATTGAACCACTGGGGCACCTGGGTGGCTCAGTCGTTAAGTGTCTGCCTTCGGCTCAGGTCATGATCCCAGGGTCCTGGGATCTAGCCCCGCATTGGGCTCCCTACTCAGCAGGAAGCCTGCTTCTCCCTCTCCCACTCCCCCTGCTTGTGTTCCCTCTCTCACTGTCTCTCTCTGTCAAATAAATAAATAAAATCTTTAAAAAAAAAAAAAAAGAAACTGAACCATTTATTGATTGAATTTAAGAGCCAGCCAACATGAAGTGCTTTCCTTATGTGGCTATAGATCTAAAAAATTAGTTCTTATTTTGACTGTTTTTGCAGTTGAACTATCCCCATAATAATAGTAATGCAACAACAATAATTTTCCTCATAAATATGTGATTTTTAAAAAACCTTCCCTACATTTTAAAGAGTGGTGTTTAGGGGCGCCTGGCTGGCTTGGTCAGTAGAATGTATGACTCTTGACCTCAGCGTCCTGAGTTTGAGCCCCATTTTGGGCACAGAGATTACTTTAAAAAATGAATGAATGAATGAATGAATGAATGAGTGGTATTTATATCCTGAAACTAATCTCAGATTTTATAGTGAAAACTTACAGACTTCTTTAACCAACTGTTAAAGAACTTAGTTTAAATGAAGACTGCTGTCAGATTAGAATGTAGTTCACATATCACAGATTTTGAATATACACAGCTAACCAATTAGTTTTTTGTTTTTTTTTTTAAGATTTTATTTATTTATTTGACAGAGAGACAGCGAGAGCAGGAACACAAGCAGGGGGAGTGGGAGAGGGAGAAGCAGGCTTCCCGCCGAGCAGGGAGCCCGATGCGGGGCTCGATCCCAGGACCCTGGGATCATGACCTGAGCCGAAGGCAGACGCTTAATGACTGAGCCACCCAGGCGCTGCTAACCAATTAGTTTTGATAGCTTAGATTTTTTTTTGCTTTAGTTGCCTTGGGATATTTTACTAAATGTACACAAAGTATGCCTTTGAAAATATTTTCACTACCTTGATTGTAAAAACTTACTGTTTGAGAAGACTGGCTTTCGTCTGATAATAATAGCAGAGAGAGGGGCCAAAACAAGATTGTGATACATGTAGTTTTCATATCGCAGGCCTGATAGAAAAGAGAATATTTTCATCTCAATAGGAGAAGAACTTTAGAGAGTACTGAGGATATTTTGATTTCCCCTTTTCTCCTTTTAAATTCATTTTTTATTAAAGTATATGAAATGTGAAACACGTACATGTTGCCACACCCTCCCTGCACTCTAATCTTAAACTGGAAAGTCCCTGGCAAATGAAACTGTTTTTCGAATGTCTCATTAGTTCCTGATCGATTAAAAAAGTAAACTTTAAAACAAGTGAAGTGGTTGTATATTTTAAAATTTTAATATATGTGTATGAAAGAAAGTCAAGACTATATTTAGGTATATGTACATAAGTTTAAGTATATGCTTATATAGCTATTTTTTGGCTTTTTTTATTTTTAGACATTGTCTATTGATATAATCTGTTGACTTAAAACTGTGGGAGATGAGAGCCTTCAGCTGTTTTTCAGACACTCCCTACCTTCATCTTCAATCCATTGAATGTATGCTTTCTATCTCTTCATTCTACAAACATAGTTACTTATAATTTTGGTCTTTTTCCATCTTGTGAATTTGCTTTTAAGTTAATGTCACTTTCAGAATGCTCTATGATTAGCATATTTCAGAATAAAAAGATCTTATAAATTTGATTAGATGAAACCTTTTTTTCCCTAAAGAAAATTAATTACTTTGTATTACATTATAAATGTATTTGGAAAAGACTTTTTGGCCACATCCCAGGTTTATATTTCTAAGGTAGAGCATACGAAGATATAATTATATTTTCTGCTCTTTCATCCCGTATTAAAGAAAGATTTTTGTAGATTAACAAACCTAAATATGGTTTGTTTTAAATTCACCAGCAACCATCAAACCTGTAAATATATGGGATCTTACCTTTACTTTTTTTTCTCTGAGACTTGTGTGCTAAGGAATCTACTGTTTCTTCTAGACCATTAAAAAAAAAAAATATGTCATATGTTGCATTTCACTATGCTTTAACCTTTGTACCCAAAGAACACGTGATTTAAAAAAAAAAAAAGCTAGACTTTCTTAGCAAAAGATTGACTAGAAGAATAATTTCTTAGTCATCTTTGACTTTTTTAGCACAAGTAAAATGCTTTGCTTAACCTTTTTGTTTCTTAATTACTCTTGAAAAATGTTAAGTATTAGCAAATTAACTTTGCAAGTTAAAGTATATAATATTGAAAAATGCATACTTGGAAAGATATATTGTTAAAGTGATTTAAAGTTAGTCCTAAAGGTATTTTGTGTTTAGAAAGATTCAAGTTGAAAAGATAGCCCCCGAGTTTTGAAATCCCGTTTCAACTTTGTTTACTCATTTTTATGACACTGTCATTGGTGGATTTACTGCCAAGTTATAATACGAGCAAAGTGCTCAAAGCATCAAAAGACCTAACGCTGGCCATATTGCGGCCCTCAAAAAATGAGTTACCTTCCTTGTGCTGCAGCTTCCCCTCTGTAAAATGGAATACTGTATTACCCTCGTTCCCCTGTAACTACAGTAAACATGTATCAGGCAAAAACGTGGTTAAGATTCATTGTCGATAGTGAATAATCATGGAGTTCAGAATGAGTTAGTTCCAAAAGATTAACTCCCATGAGCCTTAGTATCCTTAATCTATGAAACAAAAAGATTGAAATTGATGACCTTTCCTGCTTGAAAGTTCTGTGAGCCCATAAACCCATGTAAATTCAGCAGCAAACACGTTTGTTATACGATAGTAATTGAAGTTCAAAGAGAAGATATCACTCCTTGTCAATAGACAAAAATAAATAGAAATTCCAGGTTGTTTGTCTGATTTTGTTCATCTTTTATTGGGATATTATGAGATGTTGTTTGTAGGAAAATTTCTGAATTTAGATTGTTTTATTCTGGCAGTGTAAAAAATGTGTGGGGAATACGTGAATCTGTAAGGCTTAGAGAGTGATTGTGAAAACTATTAGTTGATAACTACATGTGAAAGATTAAATAGTAGAATACTCCTATTTTGAAACTCAAAATAAAAATTTTGATATTTAGACTAAACAGTTATCTTCAGGTAGTCTTTTTAGTCTTGAAGTAGTTACATGATAACTAGCATCTTTTTTTTTTTTTTTCCAAAATTCTGGAGAATTTTTTCAGAATTCTAGAGAAAAATTCTATCCTATTGATAATTGACCTTGCTTAGGTAATAAGTGGCACATCACTGGTATTTCTTATGATTATATGATAAAGATGGTTATTGTTTGTAATTAATGACTATTTCTCTTATATGGTTACACTTGTGATGTTCGTGTTACGTTTTTGGAGACACTAACTTATTTTGCACCGCTAAAATACAGTTGATAAGTTTTGGAATACCAATTTTAATTAAAGTAGTAGGTAAGCAAAATATATTATTAATCTAAAGTTACGATTTTTTTTTTTTATCAAATTGCACTGTAGGTCTCCCTACTCTCAGATCAGTCAGAGCTGTGTTACTTTATATCATTTACATGGTGAACTACAATACAAGATTTCATTTGGTCAAAGAATCTGTAGCTAAAAGATGTTTGAAAACCACTATTCTAAAATTGTCTTATTAGTCTTGAGGGTATGACAGAGTTGTAAATACATCCTCATATGTGCAAGGCTTTAGGGATTTTTCTGTGATAATCTTTGTGTTTTCTTATAAGAAAGTAAAATGAGTAGTAAGGAAATAGAAGGATTTGGGGATTGAGAAGAGAAAGATATAAGTCTGTGCTGATGGGGACAATTTTTTTTTTTTTTGGAAGTGTAAGGGATTTTCATATTGTCTTAATTTTTAACTGAAGTATAGTTGACACATAATGTTAATTTAAGTTTCAGGTGTACAATGTAGTGATTCAACAGTTCCATATGTTACGCAATGTTCACCACAAGTTACCATCATCATATAGCCCTATTACAGTACTGTTGACTATATTACCTATGCTGTACTTTTCATCCCTGAGACTTACTCATTCCTTAACTAGAAACCTGTACCTCCCACTCCCCTTCACCCATTTTTGCCCATGCCCCACCCTCTTCCCTCTGGCAACCACCAGTTTGTTCTCCAAATAGAATTTTTTGTATATCTATAAGGATTACAAACTATGTTGAGTAACTTTACCATATTTAGTTGGGACCATGACCTCAGTAAAAGTAATTGTTGTTATTCCCCTCAGTGTAATAAGAGGAATATTGGATACTTTTGATTTCAGGAAGGAAAAACAAATTAGAAGTGTAGAAGAAGAAGTTGAACAGGAAAAACAAGCAGCAGATGGCATTATCAAAAACATGTCTCCTGAAAAACAAATCAAGTACACAGAAATGAAAACCACAAATGAGAAATTGTTGCAGGTAATACTAATCACTACTTCATCCAGCATATAGCAGTCTTGCTACTATATGGTCTGAAGATGGGCAGCATTGGCATCCCTGAGAACTTGACTAGACCTACTAATCAGAATCTTAATTTAACAAGGTCCCCAGATAATTCGTATGGACAGACATTTAAATTTGAGAAGCACTAATCTAGAAAACTTCATTTTCTTATGCTGCATGATGATCAAATCTTACTGTATTATTTGTTCATTTCTATGCATCTTTCACTTTTGCATGTCATACAGATACATGAAAACACTTGGGTTTTTTTTTTTAATGAACTGTTAATAGAAATAATAAAAAACCTCATATACCAGAGCCATAGGGATATTTACTTTCTTTTTTCCTACCTAATAAGCAGCACATCTTTTACTTCTTTGTCCTTGATTTGAACAGCTCTTGCCTCCTAAACATAGTGTTTAAATAAGCAATTTGGGAGCCTGCTGAGGGGTTATTGAGAATTCTTCCAACATTCAGGCATGGTGGTGACTCCAGTTTGCAAGTTAGTGCCCTTACATACCCAGATAACCCTTAACTAAACAGCAGAGAATTAGTCCCCCAAAATGCCAAAAGTGAATGTAGTTCTGGTTTCTCAGATATAACTTCATTGACAATTTAACATAACTATTTTAGTCAGGATTTATAAGATACAATGAAACACTGAAGAAAGAGTATTATAGAAATGCCAAAATACCATCAAAATATAGTTAATCTAGCCCAGTGGTTTTTGAATAATAATCAGCTGGAAAGTCTTTTTTTATTTTATTTTATTTTTTTTAAAGATTTTATTTATTTGACAGAGACAGAGATAGCGAGAGCAGGAACACAAGCAGCGGGAGTGGGAGAGGGAGAGCAGGCTTCCTGCCGAGGAGGGAACCTGATGTGGGACTCGATCCCAGGACCCTGGGATCATGACCTGAGCTGAAGGCAGACGCTTAAGGACTGAGCCACCCAGGCGCCCTCAGCTGGAAAGTCTTGTCCCTAGGAGTGAGCCATGTAAATTACTATATGTCTTGGCCCTGAAAGAAATTAGGTAAAAGATATGGAAACATGGTTTTAAAAAATCAAAGTTAACTTTAAACAATAACATCATTAATTTGAGGGCTTCTGATATTTAATATTTTCGAAACACAGTGATGATTCACTGTGAAAAGGTCTGGCTACCTTTGACAAGCTCCCAAGTATTTTTTTAAAGGTAGATCATGGCAAAGTTTTTAGGAATAATGAAAGAAATTGGCAAAGATAGAAATAATGTTAATAAATTCTAGTCAATAGCAAGATGAGAGTTGAATATATTTATAATGTTTACTTTGTCACATCCACATTTGAGATGCTAAGAAACAGAAATATATTATTGTAAACATAACTTGTATATATATTTACTTTTTTCCTTTTTCTTAGGAGTTAGACACACTTCAGCAACAACTAGATTCACTGAACATGAAAAAAAAGAACTTGGAAGCTGTAAGTATAAAATCACTTAAGGGTTCTTATATTAGCTACAAAAGATAATTCAGCTAAATAAAAGGAACTCATTCAAGTATATATTTATTTAGTAGTTTACTACGAGGAGTATAATTTTTTTCCCATTCAGCACCACAAATATCCTACTTTGGTAAGAAATTAGATTCAGGGGGCGCCTGGGTGGCTCAGTTGGTTAAGCAACTGCTTTCGGCTCAGGTCATGATCCTGGAGTCCCAGGATCAAGTCCCGCATCGGGCTCCCTGCTCCGCAGGGAGTCTGCTTCTCCCTCTGCCTCTCCCCGCTCCCACCGGCCTCATGGCTTGTGCTCTCTCATTCACTCTCTCTCTCTTGCAAATAAATAAATAAAATCTTTAAAAAAAAAAGAAAAAGAAAAAGAAATTAGATTCAGTTATTGAGTACCTACTGTGTGCAAAATCATTCTGCCTTGCTGAGGCATGCAAAATCTAATAGTAGTTTAAAGACATAAACAAGAAATTCAAAAGAAGTGGAGGGAGAGAGATCAGTTCATCACTTTAAAGATGTAAATGCTTGCTATTTGTTACTTGTTTACTTAAAGCGGTTTTAATTAAAAAAAAACATGTTTATGGTAAAAAAAAAAAAATTAAAGAAGATGAAAGTGAAAATGCCTGTTTCTTTTCCCTCTTTCCAGACAGAACCACTTTGTATTTTTTGAGTGCTTATTCTGTGCTTTTTTGAGCTCTTTATGTAGATCACCAGCATTGTCATTTAATCTTTACAACAATTTTATAATCCTATCTTGGTTTTATTGTTGTGGAAAACCTCAAGTGGGATTCACATTTAAAATGCTGTCTGCAGCTTGGTTTTGTTTGTTTTCACCTAGCATTCTCTTGATTGTTCACATCAGCTCTCAGAGATCTCCTTCATTATTTTAAATTACTGCATTGTGTTACATTGCATGACTATAACACAGCCTTGTAGATGAATAGCTTGTTTATAGTTTTTTTTAGTATTTTTGGATTATAAACAATGCTGCAATGAAAACATGCATTTTATACAAAGTTAAATGAATATGTCTTCCGATAAGTTTCTTGGAATGAGTCAAAAGCTAAATACACACTTCTGAAATGTAAGGATGCCAAATTGCCTTCCAAAAAGGTGGTTTCATTTTCTACTTCTAGACTCAATGTATGAGAGTGCCTGTTTTCCCGTGCACTCATTTAATAGCAAGCATTATTCACTTTTTCCATTTCTACTAGTTTAATAGGTAAAAATTTCTATCTTGTTTTAATTTTCACTTAGTTATGCATTTGTTGGCCAATGTATTTCTTTTTCTGTGAACTACCTTTGTCATGTCCTTTACACTTCAGTATACTGTCTATACCTCAAACCTTGCCTGCCTTTCCTGATTTCCTGTGGATTCAGGTAGGTATCATGATGATAGGATTTGCTGTTGAAAAAGTAGTTTACTTATGGATTAGTCGATTAAGCCTCTGCCTTCTGCTCAGGTCATGATCCGTCCTGGGATGAGTCCCACATCGGTCTCCCTGCTGAGGAAGGAGCCTGCTTCTCCCTCTCCCCTTGCTCCTCCCCGCTGCTCATCCTCTCTCTCTCTCTCTGTCAAATAAATAAAATCTTTAAAAAAAATTATCAAAATGGCTTTCTATGCTGATTTTCTTCATGTGAGTATAATTTTTATTTTTTTGGATATCTCTGGTAATAGAAATATGCTTCAAAGAGTAAGAACCACATTTAGTATTAACACAGCTGGCCTGCAGAAGTCCTCACTATCTGTTTTAGGGTTTGTGGGGAATGTCAAGTCTTATTTCACTTGGCAAAATTTAGTTTCTGCGGGAAGAGGTGTAAGCTATATCCTTGGATTTAGTGTTTGTATTGATGCCACTTTTTGACATCAGCACATGTATGCCTACAATAACATGAAATTTTATAAAAACTTACAGTATTCTCAGATCAAGAATATATAAGTAGTGGGGCAGACAGGGTGGCTCAGTCAGTTAAGCATCCGACTCTTGTAGACTCTTGGGCTCCCTGTTCAGCGGGGAGTCTGCTTCTCCCTCTCCCTCTGCCCCTCCCTGGCTCCTGCGCATACTCTCTCTCAAATAAATAAAGTCTTTAAAAAAAAAAAAAAGAAAGAAAGATCAACATGCGTTTTATTGAGGAACAGTTTTATTGAGATGCAATTTGAACAAGTCTTAGGATGATTAAGCAAAAGGAAGGGGGAGATAACTATGAAAAGGAATACCCCAAAATACCTGCATTTCTTCTATCTGTATTTCATTATCACACTTTTGCACCTGAACCTAATCCATTACTTTGAGCTGTATATATGGTGCTTTTTTTTTTTAAGATTTTTTTTTTTTTTTGACAGACACAGCGAGAGAGGGAACACAAGCAGGGGGAGTGGGAGAGAGAGAAGCAGGCCTCCCCACTGAGCAGGGAGCCCGATGGCGGGGCTCGATCCCAAGACCCCGGGATCATGACCTGAGCCGAAGGCAGACGCTTAACAACTGAGCCACCCAGGCGCCCCTTTTTTTAAAGATTTTTAAGTAATCTCTACACCCACCGTGGGGCCCAGACCCACAACCCCCAAGACCAAGAGTCCCACTCTCCACCAAGGGAGTCAGCCAGGTGCCCCTATATTATGCTTTTTAAATAGACTTTCACACATTTCCTTTAATTCACTTTTTCCTTTTAAGATTCCTTCTCTTTGGCTTTCAAAAAAGAGGAGGTCTTGCCTCTTAAAAATTTGGTCTCTTTCATGCTACGGACCTAGTTTCAGATATCATCATTCACTTTTATGTTTGTTAACTTAGAAAATTATTTAGATCTCAGATCCTCAGTCTCTTCATGTGTAAAATAGAGATGATAATATTATCTGATAGAGTTGTTCTGAGGATTAGAGATAGTATATAAAGAACATGGAATATAGTGCCTGGCACAGAACAAGTAATTAATAAATAACAGCTTTAAATGCCGTTTTCTCCCTCCTCCTCATCATCACTATCAACAACCCTAGCTCTCTTGGTTATCTACTAAAGTTGCCACAGCCCTTATTTTCTCTTTGTGAACAGTAGAATAGTGGTGAATATACAATAACTATTCTACTCTTGTGTATTAATTTCCTAGTGCTGCTGTAATAAAGTAACACCCACTGGGTAGCTTAAAACAACAAATTTTCTCACTCTTCTAGAGCCTAGAAGTCTAAAATCAAGGTGTCAGCAGAGCTGTTTCCTCTGAGACTTTGTTAGAATCTTTCCTGACCTCTTCCTACCTTCTGGTGGTGCCTATCAATCCTAGGCATTCATTCCTTTATTTTAGCTGCATCACCCCAGCTTCTGCCTGTGTCATCACATGGCTCCCCTTCTGTGTCTCTGTCTATGACTTCTCTTATCAGGACACCAGTCATTCTGGATTAGGGTATTAGGGTCCACCCTATGACCTCGTCTTAACATGACTAAATTGGCAAAGACCCCGTTTCTAAGTTAGGTCATATTCACAGGTATTGGAGATTACCAGGACTTCAACACATCTTTTTGGGTGACAGTTCAACCTATATAACATTGTATTATAGAGTATGTATATGACTACATATATATGAAAATATATTCCCTCTAGAGATCAGTTCTTTAGACTTTAAATTTAATATTGTGGTTAAAGTTGTACATACATTGTGACATTTTCTTTATTATCTTCCCATTGGTAGAGATGTCTTATCTTTGTTCAGGTCTTATATTTAGAAGATAAAATAAACTACCATCTTCTCATGAATCATAGACTGAAAATAGCTTATGAAGGAAAAGGGGTTTATTTTTATTCTTCCAATTTACAAATGTGCTTTGTAGCATCATTGAGTACTGTAGATATTTGATATCACTATTTAAAAATGCTGATGGTTTAAATTTGTCCTTATTCTTATAAACTGAAACCTATGTGAGAATAGTTTTTGATAAAATACTAATTAAATGTTTCTTCTTTTTGTGCCCTTCAGGAAATAGCACACTCCCAGGTAAAACAGGAGGCTGTATTGCTGCATGAAAAACTTTATGAATTGGAGTCCCATCGAGACCAAATGATTGCTGAAGACAAAAGCATGGGATCTCCAATGGAAGAAAGAGAGAGATTACTTAAGCAGGTAGAAAAACAAAAATACTTATTTTACTATATCAAGATGTGGTGAATGTATTGATTTATTTTATTTAAGGCATAAGAATTGAACAGAAAGCCAGTACTTAAAAAACAGTGAAAAGTGAGTTTCATCTAAATTGAGATGAACTATTTGACCAAGAAAATCTAGGTGAAAGTCATTTCTCATATAAACTGTTTCTTGATTTAAATCCTACTTTTATATGGTCTTTGTGCACATTTTGGCCATTTTTTCATCTTTTGGATCCATATAAGGAAACTGAAGGCTCTCTTTATTGGTCAGTAAACAATTAGATAATCTTACTGAAGATCTGTTCCATTATTTGTTTGGGGCTCCAAGGTTCATGAATTTTTGTGGTTATTTTTATCAGTGTCTCCATGAAGTGAATGGAATTAAAATGTCCTATGAAATCATAGTATCTCACCAAGTTGTGTCACATGTATTCAGTAGCTTTATTACTACCCACAGCTAGCTTTAATTTAGCACCAAGTTATAATTAGCCTGTTATTTATAATGAGACACCCTAACTATAGGGCCCTTAGGAGAAATGCATATATATTTGGGAACAACACCCATCAGGAACCTACAAATGAGACTCCTTTGTGGTCTTAGGTTGAGCCCAAATGGTTTGGAAGAACCTTAGGATCAACTTGGGAGCTATTTAAGTATTAGAATCATTCCAGAAAGGTATTAAAATCTAGACTCTGAAATTCCTTGGAAAGAGATCATTGGAGGCAGGGGAGGGAGAGTGTGATCTTGTGATAGGACTGTCAGATGAAATACAGAACAACTAGTTAAATTTTAATTTCAGGAAGCAGTGAATAATGTTTAGAGTAAGAGTGTGTGTGTGTCTGCATGGTATATTAGGGCATGGTATATACATGCCCTAAAAGTTATTCCTTGTCTATCTGAAATTCAGTTGTAATGGAATTGCTGAATCTGGCAACCCCTGCCTTGTGTGTGTGAGTTGAGGGGGTGAGGCGAGACAGTCTCAGAAATCCTGAAAATCCTGGATATTTATGTAAACTGTTCCAGGCCTGAAGACATGTTAACCTCATGGTGCCATGTGGATAGGTATAGCTGTATCAGTCATCACCCTTCCTTTGAAGAAAAAGGAAAAATCTGTGAATAGTTACTTAATGATGTGTTTTTTAACTTCAAAGGTTAAATTTTAAGAAATAGGTTTTAAGAGACTGTATTTGACATTTTAGTACAACATACATAGAAGGAAATTATGTTTAAGGTACCCTAACAATGAGTAATTGTTTAAGTACTATTTTCTTTTTATGCCTTTATAGGTTAAAGAAGATAATCAGGAAATAGCCAGCATGGAGCGACAGTAAGTACTTTATAATAGGACATATTACATCCATTTCACATCTTTTAAATTATAGTCTAAATGTGCAATAGGTACATACTGTTACAGTTATCTTTTCCTATAGTTCACACTGGTAATATTGATGCAGCTTTCAATCTTATTTACAACTTTAAATATTTCTTTTAATATTTAGTTAAGAACCATTGCACAGTATAATTATTATTACTATTTTTGAGAGAGAGAGCATGAGCTGAGTGCGGGGAGGGGCAGAGGGAAAGAGAGAATCTTAAGCAGGCTCCACATCCAGTGTAGAGCCTGATGTGGAGCTTGATCTCATGACCCTGAAATCATGGCCTGAGCTGAAATCAAGAGCTAGAAGCTTAACCGACTGAGCTACCCAGGTGCCCCTATTTTTAGAAAATAGCTTTATTAAGATATAATACCATACAATTCATATATTTAAAGTATACAGTTCAGAGGTTTTTAGTATATTCAGAATTATGTGACCATCACCTCAGTAACTTTAGAACAGTTTAATCTCCCCAGTAAGACCCAATATCTGTTTCCTCACCCCACTTCATCCATCACTCCTAGCCCTAGGTAACCATTCTACTTTATGTCCCTATAGATTGGCCTATTCTGGACGTTTTATATACATGGAATCATACAATATGTGGTCCTTTGTGGCTGGATTCTTTCAGTCAGCATAATGTTTTCAAGGTTCATCTGTGTTGTAGTATGCATTCGTATTTAATTTCCTTTTTTTTTTTTCTGGCCAAATAGTAATCCATTGTGTGGTTATGCCATACTTAACCAGTTATCAGTTGATAGCATTTGGATTGTTTCCATTTTTGCCTATGATGGATCATCCTGGTATGAACATTGTTGTACAAGTTTTGTGTGAACATATGTTTTCAGAGTACAAATCCTTTACCTCTTTGGTCAGATTTATTCCTAGGTATCTTATGGTTTTTGGTGCAATTGTAAATGGGATCAATTCCTTGATTTCTCTTTCCCCTGCTTCATTGTTAGTGTATAGAAATGCAGCTGACTTCGGTGCATTGATTTTTTTCCCCCTAAGTCTTGGTTAACTGTATTTTTTTTTTAACATTTTTTTAATTTAAATTCAGTTAATTAACATTTAATGTATTATTGGTTTCAGAGGTACAGGCCTGTGATTCATCAGTCTCATACCCAGTGCTCATTACATCACATGCCCTCCCTTAATATCCATCACCCAGTTACCCTTTCCCTCCATCTCCCTCCCCTCCAGCAGCACTCAGTTTGTTTCCTATGATTAAGTGTCTCTTATGGTTTGTCTCCCTCTCTAGTTTTGTCTTGTTTTATTTTTTCCTCTCTTCCCCCATATCTATAGCCATACCACCCTGAATGTGCCTGATATTGTCTGTGCATTAATTTTATATCCTGAGACTTTGCTTAATTCCTGTATCAGTTCTAGCAGTTTTTGGGTGGAGTCTTTTGGGTTTTCTACATAGAGTATCATGTCATTTGAGAAGAGTGAAAGTTTGACTTCTTTTTTGCTGATTCAGATGCCTTTTACTTCTTTTTGTTGTCTGATTGCTGAGGCTAAGACTTCCAGTACTATGTTGAACAGCAGTGGTGAGAGTGGACATTCCTGTCATGTTCCTGACCTTAGGGGAAAAGCACTCAGTTTTTCCCCATTGAGAATGATCCTTGCTGTGGGTTTTTCATAAGTGGCTTTTATGGTATTGAGGTATGTTCCTTCTATCCCTATACTGCAGAAAGCTTTTACCAAGAAAGGATGCTGTATTTTGTCAAATGCTTTTCCTGCAACTTTTGAGAGCATCATATGGTTTTTGTCCTTTCTTTTATTTTTTTTATTTTTATTTTTATTTTTTTTATTTTTTTTATTTATTTATTTGAGACAGAGAGAATGAGAGAGAGAGAGCACATGAGAGGGGGGAGGGTCAGAGGGAGAAGCAGGCTCCCTGCCAAGCAGGGAGCCCGATGCGGGACTCGATCCCGGGACTCCAGGATCATGACCTGAGCCGAAGGCAGTTGCTTAACCAACTGAGCCACCCAGGCGCCCTGTCCTTTCTTTTATTAATGTGGTGTATCACATGGATTGATTTGAGGGTGTTGAACCATCCTTGCAGCCCAGGAATAAATCCCATTTGGTTGTGGTGAATATAATCTTTTTAATGTACTGTTGGATCCTATTAGCTAGTATCTTGGTGAGAGTTTTTGCATCCATGTTCATCAGGGATATTGGTCTGTAATTCTCCTTTCTGGTGGGATCTTTGTCTGGTTTTGGGATCAACGTAATTCTGGCCTCATAGAATGAGTTTGGAAGTTTTCCTTCCATTTCTGTTTTTTGAAACAGCTTCAGAAAAATAGGTATTAATTCTTTTTTTTTTTTAAGGTTTTATTTATTTATTTGACAGAGAGAGCACAAGCAGGGGGAGTGGCAGAGGGAGAGGAAGAAGCAGGGAGAGGGAGAAGCACGCCCCCCACAGAGCAGGGGGAGCCTGATGCGGGACTCGATCCCAGAACCCCGGGATCATGACCTGAGCCGAAGGCAGTAGCTCAACCAGCTGAGCCACCCAGGTGCCCCAGTATTAATTCTTCTTAAAATGTTTGGTAGAATTCTGCGGGGAGGCCATCCAACCCTAGACTCTTGTTTGTTGGGAGATTTTTGATTACTGCTCCAATTTCTTTGCTGGTGATGGGTCTGTTCAGGTTTTCTATTTCTTCGGTTTTGGTAGTTTATATGTTTCTAGGAATGCATCCATTTCTTCCAGATTGCCTAATTTGTTGGCATATAAATTGCTCATCATGTGTTCTTATAATTGTATTTCATTGGTGTTGGTTGTGATCTCCTCTCTCATTTATGATTTTATTTATTTGGGTCCTTTTTCTTTTCATTTTGATAAGTCTGGCTGGTAGGGGTTTATAGATCTTATAAATTCTCTCAAAGAAACAGCACCTAGTTTCATTGATCTGTTCTCCTGGTTTTTTTTATTTCTATGTCATTGATTTCTGCTCTGATCTTTATTATTTCTCTTCTCCTGCTGGCTTTAGGCTTTATTTGCTATTCTTTTTTTTTTTTTTTTTAAAGATTTTATTTATTTTTCAACAGAGAGAGAGACAGCGAGAGAGGGAACACAAGCAGGGGGAGTGGGAGAAGGAGAAGCAGGCTTCCCGCTGAGCAGGGAGCCCAGTGTGGGACTCGATCCCAGGACCCTGGGATCACGACCTGAGCTGAAGGCAGACGCTTAACGACTGAGCCACCCAGGCGCCCTTTTTTTTTTTTTTTTTAAAGATTTTATTTATTTATTCATGAGAGACAGAGAGAGAGAGAGAGAGAGAGAGAGGCAGAGGGAGAAGCAGGCTCCCAAGGAGCAGGGAGCCCGATGCAGGACTTGATCCCAGGACCCTGAGATCATGACCTGAGCCGAAGGCAGATGCTTAACCATCTGAGCCACCCAGGCACCCTTATTTGCTATTCTTTTTCCAGCTCTTTTAGGTGTAAGATTAGGTTGTGTATTTGAGACTTTTCTTGCTTCTTGAGAAGGGCCTGTATTGCTATATACTTCTCTCTTTTCATTTGTTTCCATGTATTTTTTTTTTAAGATTTTATTTATTTGCATGAAGAGAGAGAGAGCACACAAGCAGGGGGAAAGGCAGAGGGAGAGGGAGAAGCAGGCTCCCTGCTGAGCAGGGAGCCCAACACGGGGCTCAATCCAAGGACCCTGGGATCATGACCTAAGCCGAAGGCAGATGCTTAACCAGCTTAGCCACCCAGGCACCCCATTTCCACGTATTTTTAAAATTCTTCTTTAATTTCCTGGCTATTAAGATGCTCTTTTACCTCCATGTGTTTGTGTTCCTTCCAAATTTTCTCTTGTGATTGAGTTCACATTTTAAAGCATTGTGGTCTGAAAATACGCATGGTATAATCTAAGACTTTTGGTACCAGTTGAGACCTGATTTGTGACCCCATATGTGATTTGTTCTGGAGAATGTCCCATGAACACTTGAGAAAATGTGTATTCTGTTTTTTTAGGATGAAATGTTCTGAATGTCTGTGTGTCATTCAAAGCCCCTGTTTCCTTGTTGATCTTCTGCTTAGATGATCTGTCCGTTGCAGTGAGTGGGATGTCCCCTACTATTTTTGCATTATTATCAATGTGTTTCTTTAATTTTGTTATTAATTGGTTTATATAATTGGCTGTTCCCAACTTAGGGGCATAGATATTTACAATTGTTAGATCTTGTTGTTGGATAAACCCTTTTATTATGATATAGTGTCCTTCTTCATCTGTTATTATAGTCTTTGTTTTAAAATCTAATTTGTCTGATACAAGGATTGCCACCCCAGCTTTCTTTTGATGTCCATTAGCATGATATATGGTTTTCCACCCCCTCACTTTAAGTCTGGAGGTGTCTTTGGGTCTAAAATGAGTCTCTTGTAGATACCATATTGATGGGTCTTATTTTTTTATCCAGTCTGATACCCTTTGTGTTTTGATTGGAGTTTTTAGTCCATTTACATTTAGAGTAAGTATTGAAAGTTATAAATTTAGTGCCATTGTATTACCTGTAACGTCACTGTTTCTGTAGATTGTCTATGTTCCTTTCTGGCCCTTGTTTCTTTGGGGCTCTCTCTTCACTTAATATTTCTTGCAGGGCTGGTTTAGTGTTCACAAATTCCTTTAGTTTTTGTTTGCCCTGGAAACTCTTTATCTCTCCTTCTATTCTGAATGACAGCCTTGCTGGCTAAAGTATTCTTGGCTGCATATTTTTCCCATTTAGCACATTGAATATATCATGCCTGTCCTTTCTGGTCTGCCAGGTTTCTATGAACAGGTCTGCTATCATTCTTATATTTCTACCCTTGTAGGTTAAGGATCTCTTGTCCTGAGCTGCTTTCAGGATTTTCTCTTTATATTTGAAATTTGCAAGTTTCACTATTATATGTCAAGGTGTTCACCTATTCTTACTGATTTTGAGGGGGTTCTCTTTGCATCCTGGACTAGAATGCCTGTTTCCTTCCCCAGATTAGGGAAGTTCTCAGCTATAATTTGTCCAAATAAACCTTCTGCCCCTCTCTCTGTCTCTTCATCTTCTGGGACCCCTATTATTCGAATATTATTTTGCTTTATAATATCACTGATTTGTCTAAGTCTCCCTTCGTGATCCAGTAGTTGTTTTTCTCTTTTTCTCAGCTTCCTTATTTTCCATCATTTTGTCTTTTATATGACTGACTCTCTTCTATATGACTGCCTCATTTATCCTAGCTGTTAGAGCCTCCATTTGTTACTGCAGCTCAGTATAGCATTTTTAATTTTGGCCTGATTAGAATTTAGTTCTTCTATTTCTATGGTAAGGGATTCTCCGGTGTTTTCTGTGGCTTTTTTGAGCCCAGCTAGTATCTTTATAATCCTTGTTTTGAATTCTAGTTTTGGCATCTTACTTATATCCATATTGATTAATTCCCTGGCAGTAAGTATTTCCTCCTGTTCTTTCCTTTGGGGTGAGTTTCTCTGTCTCATCATTATGTCCAGAAAAGAATAGAAGAAAGAGAGAGAGAGAAGACAAAAATAACAACAACACCACCAGAAAAAAAGCAAACAAAGCTAACCCTAAGAAAACAGAAACAAAACAAAATAAGAAAAAAATCAAACAAGAAGTAAAACAGAACAAAAAGATCCTGGGTGTATTTGGTCTGTTTATTAAAAGAAACTAGATTCCAAAATAGGAAAGAAATAAAAACTTATATATATACAAAAATAAAATAAAATACAATGAAAGGAAACCAAAAATAAAAATATATATATTATATATAAAAATTTTAAAAAAGAATTGAAAAAATAAGAGAATAGCTGGAAAAAAACTAAAGAATAATTAAAAAAAACAAACAAACATGAATGCTATATACTGTTTTCCCCAAGAGTTGAAGTTTTGCAAATTCTCTGTGATTAGTAAACTTTGTGCTAGCCGGTTATTCCTGCTATTCTTCTGGGGTAGGGGCCTGTTGTGCTGATTCTCAGGTGACCTTGCCTTGATGGAATTGCACCCCTGTTGCCAGGGGGTCAGGCTCAGTGTGAGTGGCTCCAGATTGCCTATGTGACGCTGTTTTGCTCCCTGAAGGCTTTCAGCACCAAAGGGTGGGGGGGAATGAAAATGGTGGTGCCCCAGTCTCTAGCCCTGGAGCTGAAGTTTGTGCCCCCCACTCTTCAGTGAGCCCTCACAGAAAAGCAGTCAATCACTCTTGTCTCCCTGGTCTCCATCTAAACTGTGTGTTCACCCAGTCTGTGACCGAGTGTTTTTATCTCAGGCATGCAACCCAGTTTTGAGTCTCCAGACTTTTTGGGTTCCTGTGGCACGGATCCACACTGTTCCTCCTAGGAACAGGAGCGGGGTCACCTGCGTTTCTGCTGGGTCCCTGCCCAGAAAGCAATTGTGTGACTGTGCAGCAGTTCTCAGTATGGCAACACCGAGCATAAAGCTGGCACCTAGTCTCACTTTTTTCAGCCAGCTTCCCCACTCTGATGCCTGGGAACTCTGCTGCTCTCAGGGCATCCCCATTCTTTTTGTGACCCCAGGGTTCCTGAGACCTCGCTTTCCCACCTGGAAATCTGCCCCACTTCGTCAACTAAGCACCTTTAAGCTAGGGACATCCCCCCCACCATAGCAGACCTCTGCAAGTTCCAATTTTGCACTCCTTTGCTTTAATACTTTGCAGTAGGCTCCTTAAGAAGGCTCCCTCCTCTCACTGTATCCTCCAGTGTATTGCCCTGGATTCACATCTCCACATCTCCTTCCAAAAAGTGGTTGCTTTTCTATTTGTAGAATTGCAGCATTTCTTTTCTCAGATCTTCAATTTCGCAGATGTTCAGAATGATTTGATAACTATCTAGCTGAATTCCAGGGACCAGATGAACTTAGTCCCCTACTCCTCCGCCATCTTAACTCCTTCCTGATTTATTTATTTATTTATTTATTTTAGAGAGAGAGAGAGAGAGTGATCAAGTGTGTGCGTGCATGAGTGGGGACAGGGGCAGAGGGAGGGGGAGAGAGAATCTCAAGCAGCCTCTGTGCTGAGCAGGGAGCCAATGCGGGGCTCAATCTCACAAGCTTAACCAACTGAGCCACCCAGGTGCCCCTGCTTTGCCCATTTTTTAATTGGGCTATTTATCTTTTTATTATTGTAAGAAATCTTTATATGTTCCAGAGACAGGTCTCTTATCAGATAAATTATTTGCAAAGTTTCTGTCCCATTCTGTGGGTTCTTTTAAATTTCTTAGGCGTCTTTTGAAGCACAAAAGTTTTAAATTTTGATAATGTCTAGTTTATTTTTTCTTTTGTTGCTTATGGTTTTGGTGACCTATCTAAGAAACCAGTTCCTAATCCAGAGTCAGGAAAAATCATGCCTCTGATTTATTCTTAGAATTTTATAGTTTTCCCCATATGTTTAGATCTATGATCCATTTTAAGTAAACTTTTGTATATGGTGTGAGGTAGGAGTTCAGTTTTATTCTTTTGTTTTTGCATATCCAGTTGTCCCAGCAACATTTATTGAAATATTCTTTCAACAGATATTATCTAATATTCTTTACCCACTTAATTATTTTGACACCGTTGTCAAAAATAGGTTGTATATAGTTACGGGGCCTCATTTCTTTACTCTCAATTTTATTTCATTACTGTATATGTCTTCCTTTATTCCAGTACCACACTATCTTAATTACCATAGCTTTGTAACAAGTACAGATGCTGTTTGTTAAAATTTTAACCTATATAATCTTCAGTCAATGATAAATTTTCTATTTTCTAATTTTTAAGACTAATTTGCCAATTTAGTTCAGTTTGTACAAACCAACAAAAAAGGTTGCTAAAGATTTTCCACTTTAATATCACAAGTTAAGCTCAAAAGAAGCATTGGGGAAGTGTCTGCTTTTGAAATCAGGCAACCTAACATTCTCAGAATATACTTATACTCTGAATATGAATCCTAAAGAAAGATCTGGAAAAGACTTTTCTCTTTAAATTTATAGTATTGTCTTCAGAATAGGGCATATTATATATAGATACTATTTTTGCAACTTAGAAAAGATTTCCTAACATCATTAAATGTTTCTACTGAATATCTAAATTGTCTGTCATAAATTTATTAACTAATATTTTCAACAGATTAACAGATATAAAAGAAAAAATAAACCAGTTTAATGAAGAAATTAGACAACTGGACATGGATTTAGAAGAACACCAAGGTAATTTTTCTGGAATTTTTATAATGTATAATAACAGATATATAGCAGTATTGATTTCATATTAACTTGGGCCTCAGGGACTATTTACCCGGGATTTATTATTTAATTCTTAATGAGATCCCTAACTTTAACTACTAAAATGCTTAACTGTACTTTAATAGTAAATATTATAATTAATGTTAAATTATTGCAGCTGACTAAAACCTTGAAATAAAATGGTGATATAATGACAAGAATTTATCTTGTTTTGCAGAACAATTTTTTTAAAAATGAAGTGAAACAGTTGAAAGTTGTTACAGATTTCTAATTTATACCTCCTTAATATGGTCAACTATAAATCAACTGGGGTAGGAATTGAGGAGGGGAGAGAGGATCATGTCACAAACAGAGAGAATTAATTCTGTAGGGGTCCCAGTAATGAGGTAGCAAGTACTGATTATTCTGATCCTTTTCCAACTTTCCCCAGCTGTGAGATTTGAAGAGCCAAAGGGACTAGAACACTTGTATGTGTTCTGGGGTGTGAACAAGTGGAAATGGGGTGTGAATAAGTGGAAATGCTTTTGGTGGCTGTTGGAGAGCTATAGTGTATGTGTGGTTGGGGGAAGAGATTGGGCATTATAGTTTCCTTACCAGCTTCTTTCTAATAAGGATGAGAAAGGTGGGTTCCTCATGGCACTTTAATCACAGATTAACTGCAAACCGGTATTTATGTGCTCTTGGATTAGGAAGAAGTGACTATATATTCTTATGAGTTACATATGGTATTGTAAACCGTATGCATATACGCGTATACCTATTATGGCTAAAGAAACACTCATAGCAGGGAAAAGAGGTGTTCTATTCCTAAATAAATTTTTTACTTCAGTTTTAAATGTAATGTATTAGTTTTATTTATATTTTTCTTGATGTATGAATAATAGCATTAGCTACTATTGATTGATTACTTACCTGGACTGGGCACTATGTGATCTTTGCAAGAACTTTTTGAAGTCTTATAAGCCCTTTTATACTTGTTGAAGCTCAGAGAAGTTTCTAAAATTCCCACAGCTAGTAAAGGGTAAAGTCTAGATTTAGACCAAGTTCTCTTTGATCCCAAAGTTTTATTCTCTTTCCAAGCCTAATCTTGGCTTTCTGATGTGAAGTGCTACATTTGTGAAATAAAAATATTCTTATGATATGCTTACATAGTTTTATTTACATATGGCTAGTAATGGCTTTAAGTAAGACATATTTAGGCATATTAGCCATATAAGGCAGACAAACTTTAAGTCCCAGTTATTAGGTAAATAAAACTTATCTGAGCTTTTATTTTCTCATCTGCAAAATGAATATAATGGTCCTTCCTCACTAAGGTTTATGAATATTAAATGGCATATATGGCAAGAGGGGCTCAAAATAAATTGTTAAGACTAAGGTCATATTTTCTTTATTAAATTATTTTATTGCTTTTAATTTATGTAGATCCAGTATTCTAGATTTTCTTTATTAACAAATTATTCTAAGAAATCTGATAATGTTCTTGATATTTTAGACACTTTATAGGAAACTTTCTGAATAATTTTCCTCATCCTAAATTTAAATTTCTAACAACATTCAATTTATTTTTCCAGTAAAGTAACTCATTTTGAGGGTACAATTTATTATTAATTGCTAGTTCTAAGATAAATAGAATGTTTTGAATTTTAGCTTCTGTTTTCCTTTTTGTTTTCTAGCCTTTGTCCTTTTTGATTAATGTGGAAAAAGACAATCTATAATGTTAGAAGGTTATATATTAGCTCAGGACTTCATTATTTCTTGCCAGACCTATCACAGTACACTTCCAACTGGTTGTCCCACTTCCAGTCTTGCCCCCTCTCAGATTCATCCACCACAGTGTTGCTAGAGTGACTTAATGTAAAACTGATTCTGTGTCATTCTCCTGCTTAACAGTGGCTCCCCATGACCTATGAGATAAAGTTTAAGAATCTTTGCATGGCATTATAGTCCCTCTGCAATCTGACCTGTATGTTGTCAGTCTCCTCTCTTACTCATCATCTCTATCCTTATATTCTAATAATCTCCTTATGGTACTCCACACCTCACCCCCTTTACGATAAATCAAACTGTTTCATGCTCAATCCTATGCTCCTACTATTTATTCCTTTGTCTTAAATGTTCTTTCCCTTGTTACTTACCTTGGTAATTTCTCATCTTTTAAAATCTACTTCAGATATCCTTTAATCCACCGTAATAACCCTAACTTCTCTCCTTGACCTATTTCTGGGCTGAGCTAAGTGAGTGACCTCCTCCATTATCAGAGCACACTGTGCATAAATATATCACTGTATTGACCACACTGTATTACCGCTATCTACTAGGATGTTTGTCTTTCCTCTGAGGCTATACATCCTCAAAGGATCTGGACTGTGTCTTATTCACTCTGGTAACCTCTTATCAACACAGTGTCTAGGAAAATAAACAATAAATGTTTGTGGCATGAATGAAACAGTGCTATACTTTAGCAGGGAAAGATTTGTAGAATGAACAAAAGATGGAAGTTGGGCTCTATCAATTCTTTGCACCCTTTAGTTCTTAGGATATACATATGCACTCTTTTCTAGAGATAGTTGGATTGGTTAACAAAGGTTTTATTATTTTCTAGAGGATTCCTACCTTGGATTCATGATTTCCAGTAAAGTGGTGGGTTCTCACCTACATCTGCATTCTCAGCAGTTCCTTGACACAAGATTGTAGATAATCCACTCCTTAAGATGTGGAGGATAATCAAGATATTTTGACTTTCCAATTCATATTTTTTCCTGCCTCAGGCTTTATTCCCTCTGGCCCATTTTACTAATTTTATAGATGCTACCTTAGCTTCCGCTATTTATGGTACCTTTGTATAATCCACCTAAGGCCACCTTTTGCCTTGTAGGGGTTCTGGTTAAGATAACATATAAACTATAAATGATGTTTGTATATGTCTCACTTTGTTAGTAGTTGTTTCATCCTTTCAGTTTTGCATAATTCATTTTAAATTCAGAGGCATCCTTGGATACTAGGCCAGGTACAGTTGTGTTTTCTGCTAGGTATTAATGGTGGCTGTGTAGTCCAATATCTTCCTTAAGTGCATTATATTTATTCATTTTGGCAAGTCTCTGAAGTTTTATTTTGCCAAAGGTTACATTGGGTAACTATGTCTCAAAGCTAACTAAGTAAATTCAGTGAACAGTTATTTGACTATTCTCTGAAAATCTTCATTGTGCAGATGCTGAGTTATCCTCATAATACACTTGGACTTTTGACCAATTCTAGATAGGCTTCTTTGATCTAAAATCTTTACTTTTTCTTTGTTAAGTGACCGAAAAAAATAATAATCTCCTTGCAAAAATTTCAGTATAATAAAATAGCATTTCTCTTTTCATACTGCTAAGGGATTTAATTTTATCATCTTGAATATTTTCTAGACTTCACCCAGATAGTAGTTTTACCTTGGTGATGGATGAGGTAATTTTTTTATATGGGTTCTAAACATATTTAGATTGAAATACATATACTGTCCTGTAAGTAATTGTTATTATTATTTATGCTAACTAGAAGCAATGAGAAATAGTTCTATTGAAAGTTACTAAAGTGGTCAGAATTTGGGTATAAACTACATCATTGCTAAAGCAGAGCATTATTGGCAGATGCTGTACTACTTTTCAGAAAAGGCAGAACCCATCCAGATTTCTCCTTTCTCAGCTAAATGCCAGCCATTAAATTTGCTTAATTGTTGCTTTTTAAATATTGCTTCTGCCTAAAGCCAGCAGAAGGGAAATAATAAAGATTAGAGTAGAAATAAATGATACAGAAACAAAAAAACTAGGAGGCACCTGGGTGGCTCAGTCAATTAAGCATCTGCCTTTGGCTCAGGTCATGATCCCAGTGTCCTGGGATCAAGCACTGTGTTGGGCTCCCTGCATAGCAGGGAGTCTGCTTCTCCCTCTCACTCTCCCTCTGTGCTCTCTCTCTCAAATAAAATCTTTAAAAAAAGAAGAAGAAACAAAAAGTCAGTAGAACAGATCAATGAAACCAGAAGCTGGTTCTTTGAAGGAATTAATAAAATTGATAACCCCCTAGTCACTTACCAAAAAGAAAAGAGAAAGGACCCAAATAAATAAAATCACAAATGAGGAGAAATAACCAACACAGAAATGCAAACAAAAGAGAACATTATGAAAAATTATATACTAACAAATTGGGCAATCTGGAAGAAATTGATAAATTCCTAGAAACATATAAACTACCAAATCTGAAACAGGAAGAAATAGAAAACTTGAACAGACCCATAACCAGCAAAGAAACTTAAGCAGTAATCAAAAATCTCCGAACAAAACGAAAGTCCCGGGGCCAGATGGCTTCCCAGGGGAATTCTACCAAACATTTAAAGAAGAGTTAATACCTATTCTTCTCGAACTATTCCAAAAAATAGAAATGGAATCCAAACTCATTCTATGAGGCCAGCATTACCCTGATTTCAAAACCAAAGACTCCATTAAAAAACAGAACTACAGGCCAATATCGCTGATGAACATGGATGCAAAAATTCTCAACAAAATACTAGCAAATCAAATCCCACAGTACATTAAAAGAATCATTCACCATGATCAAGTGGGATTTATTCCTGGGTTGCAGGGGTGGTTCAATATTTGCAAATCCTTCAACATGATACCCCACATTAATAAAAGAAAAGAACCATATGATCCTCTCAATAGACGCAGAAGAAGCATTTGACAAAGTACAGCATCCATTCTTAATAAAAACTCTCAACAAAGTAGAGATAGAGGGAAGATACCTCAACATCCTAAAAGCCATATATGAAGGATCAATAACTAATATCACCCTCAATGGGGGAAAACAGAGCTTTTCCTCTACAGTCAGGAGCAAAACAGGGATGTCCACTCTTACCATTGTTATTTACTATAGTACTGGAAGTCCTAGCCTCAGCAATCAGACAAATAAAAGACATCCAAATCGGC